AGTAAAAAATTTGAAAGTTTGGGGGCTAATTTTAGGAGAAAAGTAAAGTAACCCTCCACACCTAGCGAGTCGGGTCAAGATGGCCCTACATGCCAAATGTAGTAATGGGCTTGGCCCACTAAGATTATAGGAAAAATTACCTAGAAATTTACCTTTAAAGATTAATTTTCAGAAAATGGGGGGATTTAATTTCATTTCACGAATGATTAATTTTTAATAATTATAATTAATTAAAAAATAATTAAATCTAATCTACATATTCATCTTACCCCACCCCCACACACCTATCCATGCATCATTCCTTTTAGAACCCCTAAATAAATCTCTCTTTCTCTCTCTCTTCTCACCCATCCATCCCCCACCTCAACAATCATCGTTTATGATTCCAACCACTACCTACCTCGATGATGCTGTGAGGTCGCTGACGGCGAATTCAACAAATCTACAATGCGAGACGAGGAGCCAATGATTTGTGTTGACGGAGAGTGGTGGCGATATCAAAAGAGTGATGACTTTGGAGTGGGCTTTTCCGTCAGACTAGAATGTGGAGCTAGAGGTGCTAAAAGCTTGGGACAGGGAGAGGAACGCTCAAACATTGTAGAGTTTTGGCGGTGGCATCGTGAATTTCTCGATCATTGGTACCTTAGATCTATGTTTACCATCGTGATTAGAAACTAAAAAAAATCTACTACTACATGATAATGGAACTCTAATGGTGTCAGATTTTGGGTTGAGTGCACTGGCTACAATTATGAATGGTGAGTTAAGGAGATTGTTGTGTATCTTGGCATTTTTGTTATGCTAAAGGGTGAAGAAAAAATGGATTTGAACTTTTTAGAATGAACCAAGCAAATTATTTTACTTGACTACAACGATGATGGGTGGGTAGTTTTTTTTATCAGTTTTATTGTTTAGCTAGAGTTCTGTGGTGACCCGTGTGAGGAAGTATGTGTTTGTTATGACTGTTTGTGACCAATTTTTTGTTGGTTGTGGTTTGGTTATAGTTAAGATTGACCTGATCATAGACAATCATACTGAATACAAATTTGATCACAATTAGTCTCATCAAAGACAAATATAATCACAAATAACATAGGTTAGTGAATTACTTAAATACAATTACGAATTAGATAGTCACATACAGTTGCAGTGAAAACAAGTTTGATCACAAATAGTCACATAAAACACAGGCATAGCCATGAACAATAAATCTGGTCATAGATAAATTTCGGAGATTTTTCTACATTGGAGTCTAGAGAGGGATTTTTTTTTTTTTTCAATTTTTGGAGATTTTTCTGTTATAGGAGCCAATAGCCATCTCCGATAGAGAGGTGGAGTGAATGTGGTGTAGTGAGGTAAGGTGGCATGGGATGAAAATTTTATTTACCGCCTGATTTTTGAAATAGTTTGGTGACTTTGTTATTTGTGAAATGTAATATTTAGAACTATGATTTGTGTATTGATCCCAAGATTTTAATAGCAGCTTTTTAGGGCAACTTACAAAATACACTTAAAATTAGGGGTGCTTAAAAAAAGGAACAATTGCAGCAACAGTCTCTAATATTTTCATTTTTTGCAGACTTTACCTTAACCTTCATATTGTGTTAGCAAAGGTCCTTAACTTTTTATAAATATGCACTTGGAAATTCATCTTGATGGAAACCGTCCAAAACACCGTGAGTTGACCGAAAAATTCCTTGAATAATCTGCTATCGCGATAGTTCTATTGGACGTTGATATCTTTTTGGACAGCTTTTTGGACGGTGTTCTGGACGATTTATTGGATATTGATTCATTAATTTTTTCAGTCAACTAACGGTGTTTTGGCAGTTTCCGTCCAGATGGACCTCGGTGTATATTTATGAAAGATTAGAAACCTCCGCTCGCACAAAATCAAGATTAGAGTAAAGTTTGCAAAAAAATGAAAAAGTTTAGGGATTGCTGCTACAATTTTCCCTTTAAAAAATCATATGAAAATTTTTTTGAAGTAAAAAATATTGTGCAAAATTGTCACTTATTTATAAAAATTGTGTCACTTATAAAAGTTTTGTATCACTTTTTTATTACAAAAATTACATACAATGTCACTTTTATTAAAAAGTGATATTTGTCACTAAAAAAATGAGAAATTCCAAAAAGACAATTGAAAGAAAAAGTGATAACGGTAAAAAAAGTGACAATTACTAAAAAATGATACAAATTAAAAAAGTTACACGGATTTAAAAAAAGTGAGAAAAATTAATTATCTTCCCTTTTAAATTAAACTGGCTTTGTTTTGGACAGACCGACAATTCTTTGGTGTCAAAATATTGGTGCCATATGTCTTTCTTCAAATCCAATATCTCGTGCACATACTAAATATTTAGAACTTGATTATCATTTTATTCATGAACATCTAGCAAGTAAAGATTTTCTAGTTTGATTCATATCTAATAATGATCAAGTGGCTCCCATATGTACCAAGCCTTTGCCTACACGTTGTTTTCATCAAATTCGTCCATTATTTTGTTCAAAGGTTGCTCCAGCATAAACTTGTGGAGGTGTATTAGGAGATAATAAATAATTGTTGTTTTGTTATTCGCTAGAGTTAGTTTCTTTTGTAATTATCATATTGTTGTATCAAGTTCTCCATAAATACTATCGTAAACAACATTACAATATATCTATACACACACACACACACAAAGTCTAATTCTTCACATTAACATACATTCATCCAACGAGAAATGAGTCTTCTATCATTCGCATCAATCTGCAAAGCAAAGAATAAACGAGAACAATCAGCTTACACATGATGTCCCCTCTCTACAAACAAAAGACCGCACTTTTTATGAAATTTGGATTGGAAATGAGATAGGCCAATGAAATTAGTTAAACTACCTTGGAATATCAATATTCAATCAATACTCGATAATTGAAATGTCATACTTAAGCAACAATCTGAAAAATTAACCCAGGCCTTACTATTTCATGATAAAAAATAAGCCCTATGTGGCGCCCCCCTATTGGGGGGTCACCTGTGGATGTATACGAAGTTCTCACGCTCAGTTCTAGAACGAATTTGTTACGTTACTTAAATAATTTTATTAGTTAATAGGGTTATTAATCAAATTAGTTAATTTTTTAGGGTATTGGGCCTATGGCCCAGCTTTATATCGGTTACCCAAACATTGCAAGACAAGGAAGCCCACAAAAACATCGTCTTCATTTACCTGAGCTGTATTGTACAGCTCCGTCTGCGCTAAAAATGGAAGCCTCTTTGAGCTTCGGAAGCTCCTCTTTTCTCCCTCTAACTCCGACGTCCTTGTCTCCTCATTCCCCAGCTAAACTCAGATTAATGGTTTATTTCTTTCTATAGTTTTTCTTGTTATATTTATTGTTCTCTAATCAACATAACTCTATATTATGTTGAAAACAGCGATTAAAGCGTTCAAACTCAGAAGATAAGCATCAAAATCATAGTGTAATGATTAGAAAGGCATGTGGGTCGGATGAAAATGGGTCAGTTAATGGGTTTCCAGTTTTACCGAATAAAATTTTCATGGAAGAGGTACTTTTTTGTTTCTCTGACTGCTGGACTTAATTTTCTCTTTCATATTATATTTTCTTTAATCTTACTGGTTATTTCGAATTTTGTATTGCACAAAACTTTTTGGATTTGTATTCTTGGATTTTGATATGAAGGACAAATTCTTTCGTATTGAACTTTTGAACCTTTTGGATTTAAGTTCGGGGTTGTAATTCAAATTTAGCAAATTATGCCAAGAATTTACTTGATTAAATATCTGTCAGTGAATATGAAATTCTTTTGTGAGCTGGCACACATACTAGAATATTCCTATAGACATGCGATTTTTACCTCAATTTTCTTAAATTATTTCGGGAATTGATTATATCTATGAACTTTGGTCTTAAATTGATGTATTTAGGCAATCGGAGCTGAATATGGGGAAGGTTTCGAAACATTTAGGCCAGATGGCCCCCTTAAAGTTGATGTGGTAAGCAGCCTCGAATGTACTATTTTGCTTGTTTCTTGAAATTGGGAGTGTAGTTGTGGTTAATCATCTTGAAAATGAGTATTTTTGTCTTATTCTTGTTGTTTTCTATGGTACATAGGACTTTTTAAATGATAGATTGCAAGAAGGTTTTCTTCAAAGAATTCGGTATGCCATGAAGCCTGATGAAGCTTATGGGCTTATATTCTCATGGGATAATGTTGTGGTAAAGTTTTGAATCTCAGTTGTGTTCCATTTACCTTTTCTTGCCAAATCTTAATTTTCCTCCAAACGTGACGTATTCAATATCAACAAATCAGAAATAAGTGGAAATATGAGTTTGTACTTTATGTAGTAGTCTACAATTGGTACATCAATATAAATAATCAATTTTTATATGACCATATAATATGTGGCTTTGTCTATTTTTTTCTGAATTTTTTGATGGATCAAGATGCATGGTCAACATAATATAATCATTTATTACAGAAACGTATTATATTTGACATGGGAAGGTATCATATATCTAATGTACATTTAATGCTTACATTGAAAGAAGACGGTTCCAATTAGTTCTTTGTGAACAATTGGTGATTGCTGGCAGAAGGATTGTGAAAGATATATAGACATTATCATTTATGAAGTCTGAATATGGTCCAGAGAGAATGTTAAAGTAGAGAAAATGAATAAAATTTGGGACAAAAGTTTCAGGATTTTTTGGCATAAAACTCCAAGGTAATTTACTTTGAAACCTTTTTCTTAATGGTAAAACCTAAAGGAGGTCTTACACTTGCTGTTAAAATAAAAGACTTGTGGGTAAATGTCAAAAACTTACCATCTTTACTACCTTCTTGGGTAGGGACTTTACTAGGGAACTGTTGTTGGATATAGATTAGATGAAAACCGTCTCCCTTCAAATTAAGTATTGACATCGCTGCTGGGAAGTTGAAAGAAGAAGGGTGGCCAAAGTGTTGTGCAGTGCAGAACCGGCGATATTGAGTCATCGAGGAAGAAGGCGAGAGATTAGTCCTTGGATGAGGATAAGTTGAAGGAGGGTGAGAATTTTCACTTGAAGTTTTAGATACTGGAGACGTTTGGTGTTTGTATAGTGACTGCCATCATTGTGAGAAAGCTACTCTGTGGTGGACTGACATGATGACATCCATGTACTGTCCATTGAGTAATATCAGTTTGAACAATTTAGAGATTGCAAAGGAGAAGGTAATAGTAACCTTCACCTAAACTGCTGTAAACATGTGTCGAAGAATGAAAATTTTTACCCACAAAAGGATTTGAAGTGGAAATGATGAACTATATGCGTTTATTATGTTAGTTGAGCCAAGATATTTTGGTTTTCTCGACAATCGCTGGATAAAAGTATTATCCATAGTCCAAGGTTCTTGTTTTATTTTTACTTAAGTTGTATATTTGTTAAGGAAAGTCCTAGTTAGTTTTGAACAATCTTTTGCTGTCAAAGATTCCATATCTTCAATTTCCATATATAGAGTCTAGTTCTTAGAGAAATCTTTTGGCTTTATAAACTTTATATGTTATCTTTTTATTTCAATTGAGCTGATCATTTCAAGAATTTGAGATCGTGTTCTAGAATTCCAAAATTTTGCTCAATTTTCGGACTTGATTTCTATATTTATAACTAGTAGACAACCCTTACAAACGCGAATCAATCCCTATGACAAATCCCGTCACCTAGCACAAAACAGCCTATTGAGAATCTAGTTATTCTTGATAGAGTACATCATAGCAGTGATATACCTACTGAACAATCTTAAAAGCCCATCTGTTATCTACTAAATTTCATTCAGTACTCCGGCCCCAATTAACCAGATTAGGATTTCCTCCTTTTTTCTGTCGAACATTGGTTTTGTCTTAATTTGTATGAAGGCGTTCCTAATACCTGTCCTGCAAAATTAACTGCAAGAAACTGTAACTTTTAGGTGAGTTATGGGAAGTGTTTTGGTCAAGAGGGCTTTGTTTTTATTTCGGACAAGGAAATTTTATTCAAAGCATTACCCCCCCGGCAACACAAACAAACCCTACACTAACTCAACTGCCACAACCCCTGCACAATGTTGTTGGATATCCACAGGAGATGTGATGAGGACAATGACAGAACTTGGATAGGAAGAAAGGGGTTAAATTGAGGTAAGAACACGGACTTTAAGAGCTGGAAATTTGCTAACCTATGACAGGAGGGAATGGGATTGTTGTAGAGAGGGAAAAGAAATTGTCTGCCAGTTGAGTTGACATTTGAAGTTTCTGGTCAAAAGTTGAGCATAGGAATAGAGTGGTCTGTCCACACATATTCTGATAGAACCCTGCTTCAAGTCACTGAAATTCCAGCAATTAGAAGAACAAAATGATGCAAAAAACCAAAACAATAGAACTATTATAAGGCTGATTTGTATTGCTGTAATTGAAACAAGTACCGGAAATAAACAAACTGTAATGAATGCAAATTACAGTTGATAAGTAAACTAAAGGATATTTGAGTATTCGAGAGACCCAATTCTCTCCACTAGATTCTTCCCAATATTTTTCCTCCCTAATACATTCGACCTCTTCTCTATTTATAAGTATTTTGTAACCAAATCTAATAGAATTTGTTACTATTAACTGCTTCTCAATTCTTTTGGATCCTTCTAGATTTTGATGGGATTCTATCATTACCCGCCACCCCAAAATCCACCTTGTCCTCAAGGTGGAATTATAGGCCAATTTCAAACTTTGGAAGCAAATTTGGAGTAAGCTTGCTGCGATTGTTAACTCGTTTAGTCAATCGACCACCTAAAGTTAGAATGTTGTCCATATAAATCCCATAACCAGTTGAACCTACCCAGGGAATCTCCCTTGTCATTGCTGGTGGTCGAAGCAATGTATCAACGTTAGTTTTTGGGTAGATGATTTGAATTGAGTGGGTTGAGATATTTGGGTGAGTATATGGATATAAGGATGGGTCATTAAAAGAGTTTGGCTTGTGGAATTATTTTTACTTCTATTTGGGCTGTAACTCGTTTGGGCCTGCTTTATAATTCATTCTTATCTTCCACGTGTTGCGCTAACTCCCTAATAAGGTCCAAACGCCCAAGCTTTAGCCCGCTAACTTTAACTGTTTTCAGCCCAGTAATACAATAGCCTTCCATCTCTTCAGAAATTGCTGGCAATGGCGCTGATAAGTTTTCCAGTAATCTGTCTAGTCAATGGCTTCACGTCTCCATCTTCTCTGCTACCACAGTGGTTCCGATCATCTGTTCTTGCCCCATTTTTCTCAGATTTGGGTGGAGTTCTAGAATTGAAGATGTCTTTAGAATAGGTATTTGCCTTTTTTATTTCCTTTCTTTCATGCCTCTGCTCATCCCCTTTCTTCCTCAATTCCCTACGCTTTCCCCTTGAAAATTCTTCACCAATGAAGACCTCCTTCCTGCGAAATTGATTCAACATCGAACCCTTCAATTCTTCCCAAGCTTGCACCAGTCGTTGATGATCTACCGGCTGAAACCAATCCCACTTTTCGCTGCCAAAACACGCTGTGCCGGCCTCTATTTTCCCTACCTCCGATGATTGATTTCTGAGAAAATCTTCTCCGCCTCCAACACCCACCACTCTATATTTTCTACATAGAATATGGATATTTTTAGCTGGCCTTGTGAATCTAGCTCTAGATCTTTTTGGCTTCCTTCATCCAGTTGCCTTATCATCTTCTGAAACCGATTCAATAGCAAGCCCCATCTCTCTTCCAATTCGCTGCTAAAATTAGTTTCCATTCGTCCGAGAATGGACTGTTCTGATACCACTTGATTGAACCCTGCTTAAGGTCACTGAAATTCCAGCAACTAGAAGAACAAAACGATTCAGAACGCCAAAACAATAGAACTATTATAAGGCTGATTTTTATTGCTGTAATTGAAACAAGTATTGGAAATAAACAAACTGTAATGGATGCAAATTACAGTTGATAAGTAAACTAAAGGATATTTGAGCATTTTAGAGACCCAATTCTCTCCATCAGATTCTTCCCAATATTTTTCCTCCCTAATACATTCGACCTCTTGTCTACTTATAAGTATTTTGTAACCAAATCTAACAGAATTTTGTTACTATTAACTGCTTCTCAATTCTTCTTGATCCTTCTAAAGCTTGATAGGATTCTATCATATTCTTGTTCTCCTTCTTTTGCGCTTGATCTTTGTACATGGCCTTGCACCCATTAGGCCCTATTTTAATGATAAGATTTGAATGATTTAAATAAGAAAAGGAAAACATGCAAAATACAACTGCTGATAATTTTCATTTGTTTGGGGATTAATAAAGGTTAGCAAAGAATGCATTTGAAGAAATGTATGAAAAAGGACAGAGGAGATGTATGAATAACCTTAGATCAATAATGAATATATTTTTCTTTAATGGTTTAAGCTTTGCTCTAAGGGAGTCTCTTTTCTTTTGGTTTATTTTTCCAAGTTATGCCTGGTTCATCATCTTCTGTTGATTCTTCTATTCCATATTTGTTTGTTATAGGCAGACACTGGATCGTTGAAGTTGAATGCATGGAGACAACTTGCATCTGAGGAAGGTAGGCAGCATTTATCTCGTAAAATGGGTTTCTCACTAGTAGTCATCACTACTTCATATCTTGCATTCAGGTTTTAAAGTGTAATTTGTAGCCAATCACATTATGCATCTGAGGAATTTAGGCGGCATTTTTCTCCTGAAATGGGTTTCTCACTTCTAGTTATTATCTTCATGGCTTCATTGGCTTGCATTCAGTTTCAAGTTTTACACGTCTAATTATAGTCAACCATATTGTGTAGTGCTAGCAATTGTGAATTTTAGGTGAGACAATAGCTGCTAGATCTATATGAAGTGTCTAGTAGCAAGCTAGAATAATATACTCGGGATGGGAGTGATAGAGCGGAAAATTTTGGAGAACTTCAAACTTCTGGAGCATGACCAAATCATAGAAGTATATTTATGAGAAACTGTAAGCATGAGGAATTCATTTATAGGTTCAATGAGTCATCAAGAACCTTCTTGGCACAGCGTTGTGCGAACAGCCATGGTAGGTACTTGATGATAGTACAGTATGGGGATAGGCGTAGGAAAGGAGTTGTGATGGTGTCGGAAGGCGCGAATGGAGAAGGATGGGCATCAATCTCCCGGGTATTTCAAACTGTTGTTGATTCTTTTGTTGCTGGGGAAAAGGCCAAACGTCGACCGGTGAATGAACGTAATCGACAAAGATTGACTTATGCAGACGTAACAGCAAACTTTCACTTCTTGGCACAGCGTTGTGCGAACAGCCATGGTAGGTACTTGATGATAGCACAGTATGGGGATAGGCGTAGGAAAGGAGTTGTGATGGTGTCGGAAGGCGCGAATGGAGAAGGATGGGCATCAATCTCCCGGGTATTTCAAACTGTTGTTGATTCTTTTGTTGCTGGGGAAAAGGCCAAACGTCGACCGGTGAATGAACGTAATCGACAAAGATTGACTTATGCAGACGTAACAGCAAACTTTCATACATCGAAGCAGGCTGACCAGCGGATGCAACAGCAAAAGGAGATGACTCTCAATGTCAGTGTAAACGAAGGTCACGATTGTTGTTTGAATAGGGCTGAAATTATGGCCCGTGTCCAGGAATTGAAAGGAGCGTTGGAGGAATTGATTAGGCTAGTGGGAAGTGGGTATGAAATGGGGTCCCAAGAAGTTATTATGTTGTCACAAGTGTGGAGTATGTATGGATGAGTATCCAGTTGTTGGAAAACAAGCATCGGGATTGAATAAGAAAGAATTGGCACATAATCAAGTAAAGCAGGGAAGACTCGAAATCACTTGCGAGTCTATTGATCGGATTGAAACGGACGAGGGACAATCTAAATATGACAAAGGTGAGGTCTTAGAGGGGTTGGATATGGTTGAGGTCGACGCGGGGACCGATGTAGACCGAGAGGTGGTACCTTTGTCTAAAGAAGGGGAGCCGAGTATGGTGAACTTGAAGACAGTAACGATGAGTGCAATGGACACAGTCCCACACGATGATGGGCTTTTACCAGGCGACCAAGGGACGAGGCATGTACTATCAGGGGTGATAGAGCACGACGCGACACCTTTGACAACAAGGGTTGCGAACACATATAATAGAAGGAACTCTAAGTCAATGAAGGTAAGTAACTTGGGTACGGAAAAAGTACTGGTGTTGTGGGTAGATTGAGCCAAGAAAGGAGAAATAGAAAGTGATGTTATACAGGTGGAGGAAACAGGGGAATTGTTTGGATTCGAAGCTGGACACCCTCCTTCGAACTGGGTTCTACAGAAAATTCAGGATTACAGTAAGTTAATGGGCGTGTCTTGTGATGGATACGAAAACTGATTACTACAATTGTTTGAGGATTTGGAGGCCAATAGGGGACAGAAGATGAGTAAACAAGAAGGTAAATTAAGAAGAAAGGGCGATCGTGACCTTAAGAGGCTCGAATGGTCAGTTAATTATGATGGCAAGGGTGGTGAATCCAAGAATGGAGTACTGGGGAGGGATGCTGGACTGTTGAAATGATACCACAAATCATTAGCTGGAATGTAAGGGGACTTAATGAAGTTGGGAAAAGGATGGGTGTTCGACATTTGCTAAGGGGTTGGGGAGCGAATCTTGTATGCTTACAAGAAACCAAGATGGAGGTCATCTCGAGGGTGGTGGTTAGTAGTTATGGGGGGGACAGCATGTAGGGTATCAGTTTATGGGATCATCAGGGGTTTCTGGAGGCATATTAGTCATGTGGGACACCAGAGTGCTTGAGATGGAGGAGGTGAGTGTTGGATTGTTATTAATTTCGATGTCGTTCAGAAACATTGGGGATGGATTTCAGTGGATGTTCATAGGTATTTATGGGCCTAATACTGATGATAGTAGACGGGGCTTGTGGGATGAACTGGCTGGAATGATGGATTGGTGGAATCTACCAACGTGTATAGGAGGTGACTTTAATGTGGTTCGATTTCCTATTGAGAGGTTGAACGGTGGGAGACTCACGGGGGCTATGGAGGATTTTTCAGACTTGGAGAATATGTTGGTGGATTTGCCTATGATTGGAGGAGATTTTACCTGGTCATCCAATCGGGATCAACTTGCTCTTTCTCGTATCGACAGATTCTTAATATGCGGAGAGTGGGAGGCTAAGTATTCAGATGTCATTCAGAGAAGATTGGGGAGGGTGTACTCTGATCATTTCCCTATTATGTTAACTGGGAACAGGACGGGTGGATGACGAAAGCCTTTTAGGTTCGAGAAAATGTGGTTGAAAGTTGAAGGTTTTAGGGAGCAAGTACAAACTTGGTGGACATCTTACGATGTCAGGGGGTCTCCTAGTTTTGTGTTGGATTAGAAGTTGAAGTCTTTGAAAAGGGATTTAAAGAAATGGAATGAGGAGGGTGTGGGCAATGTAAACTGTTGTAAAATTCAGTGTCTTTCCGAGATTGATGAGTTGGATAGGTGGGAGGAGAGTCGAAGGTTGGCTAGGGAGGAGAAGGAGAAACGTAGAGCATTAAGGGAAGAATTGGAGAGGCTGGTGGAGATGGAGGAGATTGCTTGGCGTCAGAAATCTAGGGTCAATTGGTTGAAAGAA